GCACTTTTGCAGGCAGAATACGGAGCACCCTTCAATGCTGCCAGTAACATATCTGGAACATAGCCTTTCAAACTGGATCTGTGGTGTGACAAGAATGCACATGATGATTGCCTCCATTAAGACAGAGTGAGGAAAGCTGGCTACAGAGAAGCTTTTTGGCACAAATCATTGATGTGGGAGGAAGCCGGTAGGTAGGGAGAGGAAGGAACAGAGGCCAGTGCCCTTTTTAAGCACTGCAGAAGAATGTTTTGTTCTGACATTTTATTGCGGGGGGACAAACTGATCCTTTCAGTAGAAGGCAGGGTAGAGATGGCACTTTAAAGACAAACTAAACCAAGTAGTGACAGCTCTCTATGGTCCAGCTGGAACTGAAAAAGGATTCTCCAGAGCTCAACTTCAAAAAGAGGCAAGCCCTCCCAACACATCTGGTTACACAGTGTGGTCTCCTATTGCACCAGAAAGTCCTGTGCCCTGAGAGGCCACTTCACAAGGTGATGGTCCGTGACACAAAGAAGAGGTTAGGAAGGCCCCAAGAGAGACAGAAATGAGGAGAGGTGGCCCCAATTGCATTGACTTGCTGTCGTAGCTCACCCCACGGGCAGTCACTCTCAAAGGAGGGGTAGGAAAGTGTCTTAAGAAGAACCTCCCCAGTCAGCTCCCCAGGTGCTGGGCCATACAACCATGAATGGCTCTAAGCTCCCAGGGGCAAAGCTGAGGCAGGGAACAGGGCCACTGTGGCACACCCTGGGCCTTTCTGGAGCTGGGTTGTCTTCCTCCATCTCTGTCGTCTGCCTCACCAGCAGTGGATAGGCTGCCAGCAGGGCCCTGTAAGAGGGCTGCCTGGCCAGTGCATGTCTGCTGGGCAGGGTCTCTCTGGGGGCAGCCAGAACCAATGTGGCTGGGTGCTGGGAGGAAGCAGCCTAGACAAACAAGCTCTGTGTGTCTAAAGGGTCACCTCACATAGGCAGGTAAGCAGGCAGGCAGATGGCTGTCTACCGGTGGGTGTCCAACAGTCTCTGGAGAGCTGTGTGGGCCTGAGCAGCCTCCTTTGTGCAAAGTGATGTTGGGTGGAGGCCACCTGTGCACACTTGCACAATTAAAACTTTCTGAGCGGGGAGACATATCGGTGTTAGTGTGTGCCTCCTTCCCTGACATGCCCCAGGGAGGGTAGTGCCCCCTTTCTTCTCCCCTCACTCTGGGGTATTTGGGCTGGGGCTCTGACCATGGGCAACTGGTGCTGCCTTAGTTGGGGGGGCACATGCCCCCCCACCCCAATGACCAGTCAGCAACTGGGGAGGGGTCCCCCACAGCCAATCCCACAGACCAGGGTGAGGGGTCCCTCCACAGCAAAACTTACCAAACGGTGAGTGGCCGCACTGCTCCCGAAAGCTCCTGGAAGTGGCCGTGGCCTACATCTGGCACTCATGCTCCCCGGCTGGCGCTCACAGGGGGGGCACTGGTACTCCCGCCTGTCCCCCCTGCCCTTTGCATGAGAAGGGAGTGCAGCCTGACAGGGGGGTGCACCGACCCTTTCAGCGGGTGCACGTGCACCCCCGTGCACCCCCTACGTGTTGCCACCAGCTCTGCAGTCAGTATTGGGAGGGTGGCTGCCACTTCAGCTCTGCCTGCACCATGCCTCCTTTCCTGCCCTAGCTCTGTAACCCCACTCTGTTGGCTTGGCAAGGACCACAAGGAGTACAGGCAGTCCTTGACTTACAATGTTTCGAGTTACAATGTTTCGCACTTGTAATGCTTATAAATTAACACCCTGTTTCAGCTTTCTGATATCAGTAGCAACTTTACAACGCTCGATCCAATGCCATGCCACGCCAGCGAACAAGTTCGCTGCATTGCTCATCTCTCTGGAGAACATCTGTCCAAACCTCCTTGGACACTTCCTTTAAGAAAGCAGACAAGACTCCAGAAAAACCTGCAGCCAGGACTCCTGAGAAGACGCCAGCCAAGAACCCTTCAAAAAGTCCAACCAAGAGCCCTTCAAAATGTCCAGCAAAGTCTCCTCAAAGAAGTCCTCCCATATTAATGTGATTGCTATTTACAATATAAATACATTACTGTAGCTATATTACGCATCTGTAATTGATTGAGTACAACATTCTGGGTTATTTTTGGTGAAAATAGGGTATCGGGCCTTGGTTCAGGAACCAGTCCCTCATTTATAACATTATTTCCTAAGGGAAAATTGGTTCTGAGTTACAATGTTTTGACTTAAGACGAGGAACCAATTGTGTGGTAAGTCTGAGGACTGCCTGTACTCCCATTGAGGACAAGGTGGTCCCCAGGGGTTGTGGGTCCAAGGCTGGCAGATACCAGTCTCCCTGCAGGGCTCAGGCACAAGCTGGGGTCAGAGACAAACCTCTCAGAGCAAAGACATGGTTCCTGCAGCATTGGTGGTTCAATAGTAGAATTCCTGCCTCCCATGCAGGAGACTTGCATTCAATTCCCAGCCAATACAGGTGCCCTAGATGAATCCTTTGCATACCTTAACAGCCTAAGATAGTCCTTGACAAAGATGCTTGGGGATTGGACTTGAGGTCCCTTCCAACCCTAATTTTCTATGATTCTCTGGCAGGACAAGAAAGGTACCATTCCAGCAAGAGGTCTTGCAGGAGTTGTGCAAGCCACAGAGGGAGGGCAGCCCTGCCTCTGCCACCTTGGCACTCCCTGAGAGGAGCCCCATGAACCTCTTGAACATAGCCTCTTGAACTGTGGGGCACAGTTGTTCAAGGGCACAGTCGACTTGGGGAAGACAGTCTTTGATTTGCTCTGGGATGAGGAGGGGAACCTCTTCCATAATGAAAGAAAACCTCACCTGATTTATTCACCAGACTACACCCCCCTTCCCCCAACCCTGGCACAGAAACAAGATGAAAAGCCTTCCCCTTCTGTATAGAACAAATGGGACCCAGGCATCCAGCTCTCCAGTGCATTAGCTGCTGGAGCAGGCTGCCTTGTGGTTGGTACCCTTTCCCTCTGCCAACACGAACATCCTAGCCAAATACACCGAGCAACTTAGTAACAGACATTCTTCCAGCTTGGACAATTGCAGCATTTGTTATGTTTTAATCATAAGAGACCAATATAACAGTGGCTATGTACTGAAATTAAAAAAAGAAGATAAAACTAACTAGCAGGAAACCTTAATACACTGCATTAAAAAAACCCAACCCAACCCTATAATTAGAACTGTTTGCTACACTGTCCCCCAGCATTAACCAAACTTTTCTTCATGGACAAGGAGAGTCCTTGGATCTGTTAGAAAGTGATGGTGGAGAATACATGGCATTTATTTCTAAGCCTATCCACTTAACAAGGCTCAGGCCCCCTTAAAAGAAATGGGATAGTTGCACTGTTAGGACTGAGACAAGGGTTGGATGCGCAGACTTGCAAAGCCAGCCCCAAAGAGCTGGCAGTCTAAATTTAAAAAGAGTGGCAAAGAGGAAGAGGCACCAAGAAGGTGGTCCGTGGCACTGGCTAGGCCTCAGCTAGAGTCCTGTGTGCAATTCTCTACATTTTAAGGAGGTGGAGAAGTTAGTCCAGAGACAGGAGATCAGAACGATAAAGGGGATGGAAGGCAAGAACTGGGCAGGCTTAGCTTGAAGATAAGGCAATCAAGGTGGGGACACAATAGCAGTTTGTAAATATTTAATATAAGGGCTGCTCTATGGGGGAGAGCAACCATTCTCCCTTGCCACAGGGATGAGGGTGCAAAGCAATAGGATAAAACTGCAGCATGGCAGATTGAGATCCAGGGAAAAACTTCACTGTTAGAACAATGAAGCAGTGGAACAGACTGCCCAGGGAAGTGGTGGCATCTCCTTCACTGGAAGTTTTCCAGAGGCTGGATAAGCACTGGCCAGGGATAGTTTAGGACGAGCACTCTTGCAGTTGTGCAAGGGGTTGGACCAGATGGCCCCTGAGGTCCTCTCTGGCTCTGTGACTCTATAGGGAGTGATTTGCCCCGAGTCACTCAGTGGTCCCAGGTCCTGCCTTCCTTGGGCTCCTGTGTTATGGTAAAATAGGCTGTTTCCTAACAGAGGGAAAAGCAAATACCAGGAGAAAATAAACCTCAGCAATGTAATTTCTAGTGTTAGTAGTCAGGATCAACACGTGCCTGAGATGGGGGCTGCCAGGGGACTGGATTTGGTAATACCCTTGGGTTCCTGCTTTTTTCTTCCTGTGAGAGACACTCACCCCTGCCCTGATGGCAGGTGGCCTCACAGGCAAAGGACACATCCAAGCAATGATGGGCAATGGGTGTCCAGCAGCAAAGGGTCTTGGTTCAGGGCTCTTGCCAAGGAGTGCCACTTCCATGCCATCTTTCTCAGCATGGCTCATGATTGTCCTCTCAGGACTGAAGGCCACCTCCTTTTCTCTTCCCCCCCCCAAAGTGACCTTCAGACTGCACCTGCTTCCTTTCAAACCATGCAATGAGCTACGTGATCTCAGCCATCTGGGCTCCAAGACTACTGTGTCTGAGCTCTAGGTCCCTTCCTGTTTTGAAACATCCTGAGTCAGCAATTCAAATATACACTCAGTTTATGGGAGCAGCTATACTGGGGCCTTCAGACTACCGGGGAACATTTATAATGGGACACTTGGGCCAACAGGGAATGCTACAGTACTATGGGGGGTATAAATGGAGCACTTGGGCTAAATGGGAA